TTGTATTTACTAATTTGTTTCATTCATTTCGTTGTTTGAAAATGCTTAAAAAATTCAGTAATTGCCATTACTCGTATATGTAGTACATGTAGTACATGTATATTATTCACGTGATCTGAAAAAAATTTGGGTGGTGAATTTACCCCGGTATTAATTCCGCTATACCCTAACGCCAATCCTAACCTTAATGCTGGCCATTTTGCTGTGCACTAAATCACATGTATGCTGTGTCGGTATATTTCCTCTTGAATTATTTGGCGATCATCACGTGATCGACACCGTCATTCGTCACCACTAATCTACTTGTACGGAAATGCAAATTGGGACGGACATAGTACGTACGGTTTGAAAAGAAAAAGTTCTTTCAAAGAAAGCTAATTTTCTATAACCTCACAGGAAGAAAGAACAATGCTCGCGCTTGACCTAACCCTAAACATAAGAAAGGGTTTACTTGTAAAGGATTAGGTCTCCTCTTTCATTTGGCGTGAGGATGTGACGAATAAGCATTGGTTAAATAATTATATTAACTAATACTTATTAGCCACACCAAATGATTCGTCACATCATTGTGCCAAACGGATAATGCACTTATAAAAATTAATTTTACAAACCTATATGTACTATCAAAATTTTACTCGATTTTCGTAATTCCGTACATACTGTACGCGAAAAAAATTCAGGTATCATATAAATGGCACATTACTGGGGTGACAATTTTTTTGCGGAAAGCTAGGGTTGTTCAACGAAGATATAAAAATGGGTCAATTTTATTGGTCGATGTAAATCAAGATATTGGTGAAATTTATCCAGCGTTTTGATTGGTTGTTCATTTCTTGGAGATTTCAGTTGATGGGGGATGTTAACTAATGAATTAACTTCGAACAGCCTAACTCTGGTAAAAAATTGAAAATTTGTATCTTTCTATCAATAAAATTAATAATAAAAGTGAACACATTAGATATCGTTCATTATGAGCAATAGGTGGTTTCTAAAATTTTTAGTGTGATGTGAGAAACTTTTTTTGAAGTTGATTTATTTTATCGAAGAGATTCAATCATCGATTCCTAAAATAGGTATATTACCTGAATATGATTGGTTTTACGAGATGTGTGATTCCGGATTAATACGTACTAGAACCAGGTAGATCTTTGAGGGCCGAATCTGATGAAGCAAAAGTTATTGAAACAATTTGCGAGTTTCTGCCACTAAATTTATTGTGGCAGCTGAAGCTGAGATAGAGGGGTCTCTATTTAAATCTGTAATACCCACTAAACTTCATTTGTACTATTTTATTAATAAAACTATCTCTAAACCCTAACCCAACTTTAAAAAAAAAGCTAACAAAAAAGGCTCAAAAATTTTTAAAATTTAGTATTAAAATATTTCAAAATCTCAGCTTCAGTTACCACATTTATTTTTTTTTTATGACTAATATTTTAATCGTAAGAAAATTTTATGCTACATCTGATTTTAAATTCTTATTTGTTAGATGCAAATTTTTTCTGCTATAATCATTTTACTTTGATTGATCATGTTCTTTTGATTGAATTTCTGTGGTATCAACAAAGTACAAATATAAAATATTGATAAGCATTTATGTTTTCAATACGAAATAAACTATGAATAAGCAAAATAATGGTTTATAAATAACTTACTCTTTACTTAATATTAAATACATTTAGTTGTATGGCAATGGTCGGAAGCGAGCGATCAATTAAGTAGAAACAAAAGTACATTTATTGCTAAAAATAGAATTCTTATAATAATTTTTATACAATTACTTATCATTACCTATTACAAAAAATTTAATATCAAGTAATAATTTTGTCATCTCTAGCATGAATAGACATCTCCGTTTTCTTAAAACATTTCTAAATACAAATTAACGTTAAGAATAAAACCACATGTAAATATCAAATAAGAAAGTTGGTTAAATCGTATTTTTAATTGTCACGTGATTTAGTTTTAAGTTTAACTTATTAAGGAAATCATAATAAAATGTATGAATTTCGGAGTCAATGAAAGATTTTCCTATTGGATCGACAACAATAGTCGATTAATGTATTGTTATGGAATAGATAACTAAAATATTGTAAAAATATTAGAACTAGAAGAGTCTTGTGTCGGAATATTTAATCAAATGTGGTTTAAAAAACTCTTTTGAATAATAACCTTTACAATCCTTGAAAATTTTAAGTATACTTGACTTTCAAATATTATAATATTAAAATATATTATAATATTTTAAACTGAAAATTACATGTTATAAAAGGTTTAATAGCCATGATTGCAAGTTTTTTTTTTACGGGCAGAAAAGCTTCCTACTTGGGAATAAAGTGAAACAATTATCATTTAATTTATTTCTTATTAATAATTTTCGTATTCCAATAGTTTCATTATATTCATTGAAATAAGGATAAAATATGTTATCTGTTAAACTTGATCTAGACCGTTATCAATCCTTTTACTTTATTAAGACAATAAAGAAAAAAAAAATAACAATAACATGGCTTTATTTAAATACAAAACTTTAACTATATTAAGTAATTTTGTTTTCTCTTTTTGAATTTATAATTTATATAATTTAATATAAAGAATTAATATCACGGTAGCATATCTAGAACCAATTAAGATTATTGATAAGCCACGTGTAACACTACAATTAGCGCCATGAATATTATGTGTATGTGAACATTCGCAGAAAACTAGATTTTCTTTTAATTTTACTTTGTATAATGACGTAATATAGATTCGAAGATATATAACTCTTTTTATTGAAATTATCAACCTTAATCATATTAATACAGTAAATCTATTATTAAAAGTTTAAAAAATCGCGTTAATATGCGTTTTTTAAATTATTGGTTTAGAAGGAAGTATTTGAAGCTTAATATTTTTACAGAAAATAATAAATTCACATAATTTTTTCTAACAATAACATAAATTACAAGATTCAATCGACGACAGTGCATAGTATTAATATCATAAAACTATTTGATACATAAAAATCTTAAGTCTTAATTATTCTATTTATAAACATAACATATTTAGATTTGCCAGACTATTACATATTCAGATATGCCGGATGATTATATATAAATATCTATAAGAAGTTGAACCAAAATTTTTCCCGTAAATTTTACCGTAAATTTGCCAACGAAAGATTAAAATTTTAAAAGATTCAGATAGTAATCCTGGACCGAATTTGACTTGCATAAGTAGTAAATGTACTTTTTTCGGCAGGTGTAAAACTTCCCCATAATATTTGAGTAGATTTACCGATTATAAATCCATCAGTTATATTTATTAAAAGTCCTTCTTCATAAACTTTAGATTTAAGTAAATGATAAGCAGTAAAAACTTTTCTTTTATTCGCTCTCTGTAAAATTTGATTGATCAAATTTTTATTGAGATTATTCATATTTGAAATTCTTTGTAAGACCACTGGGGTTTGAAGATGAGAGACAAAGTCTTGCACTTGATTTACACTATCCATATTTTTATATATCGTGAATAAAGAAAAGTGGAAGAGAAACCTGAGTATCTTATATCTGAATTCATGATGAATTTAAGTGAATTTAAAACGGTCTTCATCATCATAAAAGGTTAGTTAATAGTATACTGCCTCGTTAGCCATGTCTTATATAAGTATACAAATTAAACGAGAACAATATCAATTTTTTTATGGAATTGTATAAAAACAAAGCCACTTGATCATACTGGCATCATATGGTCAATGTCATAAAATTACCTTCCACTTATGTATAATAGAAAAATACTACTAGAATAGATGACAGAATGGATTACACGTTTTTTAATTATGTAAATCTCGGGAATATGTTATTATGTCAAGCATAAATAAAAAAACTTTTAATAGAAATTCCTATTTTTTCTTTTTTTGATATGATACAATACCACAATACCCGATTATACCTGTTCGATCAAAGTTAACCTTATCATTATTAGAAGATTATGTCACGCGATTTATCACAAGGACTACTTAACAAATTGCTACCCGACACGCCGTATGTGTCAATTGCGCTCATTTTGTGATGTTTAAATAAAATCGTTAAAATAAGTTAGTATTTATAATTATGATTACTAATACGAGTGTGTCAGCATATACTGATACTTTTTAGTATCACTTTAAATTCACTAAATAAGCTAGCATTTATTAATTATATCACTTTTTTCAATGAAATCTAAATGAGCAAGGTTACATGTATGTGCGGGAAAACCCGAGAAATAGAGTAATCTTAATAAGTGACTATGTTACTACAAGAAATAACAAGAAACAAGTCGAATCAGTTGTTTAGTAGAATGATAAAGGATATTATTGATATAAAAAATAGTGATTTATTTTAATTGTTTCGATAGAATCCAAATTATATAAATATATATATATATATTATAGATTAGAAAGGCTGTTTGAAAATTTTATAAAATTAGACTATCGAGGAAACGTTAATTTTATTTTACATATAATAGCGTATAATTTGGTTTGTGTTCAATAAATAATAATGAATTCTTGAACCAGTATCAATTCGATGTATATCAATATGGTACATAATTACCATATAGCGCTGCATATAGTACCCGGTACTGTTCAAAAAATCGGTACTGACACTATATGCCTTGCTATTTAAACATATCAAACACAATGAAAAGATCCACCATTAATTATAAAAATTGGGAACACAATTCAGGGGTTACTATATGCAGCGCTATACGGTATATAACTTATATTTAAATATTTATTTTGAATTTAAATATTCATTTTATTTATTTATTTATTTATTCATTGATTCATTTTATTTATTTATTTATTTGCTTTTATACCCTTATTTAATATTTTTTTCTCTTTAGAATAACGATTGATGTTGCGGAATAAATAGTCCGTAAAGTTTTTTGCAGTGAGAAACCCGAGATATTATTTTCAAATTTCAGAAGCAAGTACAATGTGAAATTATCATCTATTGTCATTATAATGTTTATGATGATGAATTACATTACCCGCCTAGAGAAATAATTCGGACAGTATCACCATAGAATTTTCAAGAGTGGTGCTTATTATGTGTATGATGCCGAATAAATGTTAGCGCATGCTATTTAAGTATATGAATTGTAAATATCTTCTTTCTACAATTTCCTTTATAATAATTAGCTTGGAACTTTTTTATTTCTTATCATTCCTTTCTCCTTTGTCATACTTCTTGGCATCTTGTGATACGTTTGCGCCACCTCATTATGTCAACGCAGATCATTCGTAATCGCTACATTTATGTACTTTACTGACTTTCTCATCCAATATGGTGTGTGCTTTTTTGTATCATACAAAAGAAAAAAAAATGTCAAAAGAACGTGTATGAAGAAAAATGACAATACAAACAAACGTGTGTTTAGATTTTCTTTGTATTAGAAAATGACTAAAGTGAAATTTATAATGCTTATCTGAAGGTTGTAATTCCGACCCCTTAATGTCACACGTTACTCACGCGTAAGATTAAGTATTTTTTATGGCATATTACATAATAGGTTCGTGATTTTTAGGCTTTGCCACAAGTTATATAAGCAAAATACACATATAATTAGATTATGAACCAATATAACATATTACGTTGTATTTTTTTTTTTTTTTTTTTTTTTTATTATTATTATTATAAATCACATATGTACAAATTAACCTTTTTAAGTCGAATAATATAATTCTAGAGTTAAAAAGAATTCTACTAAACCTTCTAAAGAAGTTTCTTTTAGAAAATTCTATAAAAACAGCCAACGGCAATTTACACTCATTTCTTCGAATTTATAAACATGAATCATCTCCAATACCATGCATTACTAAAAAAAGAATCTACAAACAATAATCTTCTGGATTTTTTTTATTCATAAATAAGTTTTTAGCATTTAGAGTCTTAAACAAAAAAAAAAAAGGTCCAATCATGAAAATTTGTGATATACTAAATCTATGATAGATAACTTGTGTTCGAAAAAATACAATGAAAACTTATTATTATTATTTAAAATTAAAATTTGAATATCTTTATTATCAGTAATTATGTACGGTCAATCTCTAAAATGAACCCGAGTAAACCGAGCGCTAATAAACTCTGTGAAAACTGAACACAAGGTTTTAGAACATTCACGTATAAAGTTTATTAATAAGTTCGGATTAAAACCGAACTTTTTTACATGTAATCCAGAGAGAGAGTTCAGTTTAAACAAAGTTTATTGTAATAGTAATTATAATATTTATAAATACCTTTATTAGAAGTTATCGTGTATAGTAATAATCAAGTATTATCTGAGATCTAAATTACCAATTTAATCTGGTTTATTTTGTTAATATATATAAATAAGTTTGACATGTTTATACAAATAAATTTGACATGTTGCACACATGAAATTAGTATATCCGTATATACTGTTGTTAAAAAGCTTTTTCATTAAAATGAATTTAACATGTTTTTATAGTTATCAACTTAGTCTCAAAATTTTCTAGCATCGTTGACTATAACTTTACATTCAGGGGTCAGGTACTTACGTACTTCATATATTGATCTACAGATACTTAAAAAGGGGGTCATTAAAGCAAGATGTGTTAGAGTTACTTTTTGATGCAGTTAGGGTTATGTTTTTGATCCAATGATGTTTAATAATTTATATAGATATCAATAAAGAATTTATGCAGAATGTAGATCATTTTCAAATTTATACCAAGCGCACCGACCCCTTAAAAAGGAAATTTCTATAATTTAATTCGGAGTTAATGTCAGATTTTCCGATTGAAATCGACAATAATAGTCTATTTCATGTATTGTTAAAAGATTTAAGGTTTTGTCATACATTAATTAGATAAGAATTAGATAAGAGTAAGCAGATCCTTGCTCTTCGAATATTTAAAAAAATGCTAGGTTAAAGAAATTTCCGAATATTTATAACCTAATCAAAAAATATATTAGGAAGTATTTTATTTTAAAAATTGAACTTTATAAATTATGAAAGCTTAATAATACCTTTGAAAACAAGTTACTTTTTTTTATGAATAAAAATTTCTAACCAGGCTATTTAAATTGAAACTATCTTTATTTAATTTCTTATTGATTAATAATTTTGGTATTCAAAGTAAATCAAATAATTTCGTTATTTTGGTTTTGAAAGTAAATCAAATAATTTCGTTATTTTGGTTTTGAAAGAATGGCTTAAAAACAAAGTACCTATTAGAGTTAAGCTTGATCAGGCCCTTAATTGGTATTTTTGTTTTGTCAAGACTACAAAAAAAACCCCCCAAAAAAATGAAGAAATACGAAACAAGGAAAAATGCTGAAAGAAATACGAAACAAAGAAAAATAAAGAAAACGAAACAAAGAAAAATAAACACAACACCAATATGGACTTTATTTAAATACAAAAGTTTACCTTTATTCCTGTATTCAGTAATTTATTTTTAAGTTTTAAAAATTGAGAATTTTTATTTGTACACGGGGCGTTTGTACACAGGCATATAGAAAGCCAATCAGACTATACGATCAAGTGTAACATAAAATCATTACATTCTTTAAAACATCGCTTATAAAACCACCTTTTGGGTATCAACGAAAAATAAATTGCCTGTGAAATTTTAGAATAAACTTTTTTCCACTCACCTTACCAAACCTTAGATAGCTTTTAATTTTTCGTTCTATACAAATTGGTTTGATTCGCACGTCACACAGATTCGTAAATTAATATCCTTGTTTAAACACCCCTGTGTACAATGATAAATTATATATATTTAAAATAAGTAAATACTACTTTGTCCCCGGATTAATTTTAGTCATGTGACTCTCACATAGCTTATCGGTAAGTACGCGTCTAGATGTACGTAAAATCAATAAAATGGGAAATAACTACCGACACTGCATTACCATCATTATAGTTAGAATATAGCAGAGTTAAGGAATTAAATCACGTGCCGCTGTGTAGTAGTTATCCCGATCACGTGCTAATTTATTTATATTAATAAAAAGTGTTAACACGAATATATGCAGAAACAATTTTTTTACTTTAAATAATATGATAGAAATTTGAATAAACATATCATTTTTATTAGAATTATCGACCTTAATTATATTAATCAACTATATAATTTTATCAAAAATTTAAAAGGTAGTATAAAAAAATTATTGTTCTTAGAAAAAAAGTATTTAAAATTTATCAACTTTTCTAAAATGACCTAAATGAAAACATTTAATCGACGATGGCGTATAATATTATATAATATTATAAACTACTTTGATACATAGACATATTAATTGTACAGTAATATATTTGATATAAAGTCAATAAAAAATATTATACATATTCAGATTTGACGTATTATTACATATTCAGATTTACCGAATCATTACATTTTCAGATTTACCGAATCATTACTATTCAGATTTTGCAGATTTGCCGGATCATTACATATTCAAATCCGCAAAAATCCGAATATGTAACGATTCGGCAAATCCGCAAAATCTGAATACGTAATTATTCGGCAAATCCGCAAAATCTGAATACGTAATGATCCGACCAATCCACAAAAATCCGAATATCAACTATAAGGAATTAACCTATATTTTGTAGATTTTTCCAATTCAAATAGAAAATCTCGATCGAATTTGACTTGCGTATGTGGTGAACGTACTTTTTTCAACAGGTTCTATAAGAATTAATCTAAATTTTGTAGTAAATTTTTTTTTTTTTCAATTCAAATAGAAAATCTTGATCGAATTTGATTTGCGTACGTTGTGAATGTATTTTTTTCAGCAGGTGTAAAACCTTTCCAAATCATTTCTGCAGATTTTCCAATTATAAGCCCATCAGTTATATTTACTAAAAGCCCTTCTTCATTAACTCTTGCTCTAAGTAAGTTGTAAGCAGTAATTTTTTTTCTTTGATTTGCTCTTCGTAAAATTTGAATGAGCAAATTTTGATTAATATTATTTAAATTTAAAATCCTCTGTAAGACCAGCGGATTCCGAAGATAATCGACAAAATCCAGTATTTTATTTATGCTATCCATATTGGCATTCAGTATTTAATAAATTTATAAGCAAATGTAAAAGAAGCCTCGTATTTATATTTAAAATCGAAATGGATTTAAATGAAGATAAAACGATTTTAAAAATTTATAAGTAAATTAAAAAAAAAAGCTTCGTATTTATATTTAAAATTGGAATGAATTTGAATTAATTTAAATGATCAAAAAATGATTTTAATCATCATAAAAGGTAATTAATGTACTGCCTCGTTTCTTATCTTTGAATGTGTACAAATTAAATGAGAACAATATTAAATTTTTTTTTCTTTTACTCCTGACTATACTGTTGTAATCATATGGTCAATGTTAAATTATCTAATGATAGAAAATTGACTATAATAGATAACAATAACGGATTACACAATTTTTAGGTCTAATCATTTTTGTTTATGTAGGATCTTAAATTTATGAAGAACATCAATAGAAACTTATAGAACTTTTTTTATTCTTTGTCTGGCACACACGATTATATCTATCCGATCGTAAGTCGGCCTTATCATAGGCTTGTATCACATATTAATCGAAATGACTTGTTTACCCAACTTAAAAAATTACATTTACTGACATGCATTATTTACGGAATAAACCGAGAAATAAATATGATCGAGAAAACCATGACAATGTCATAATTTGGAAATTTTTTGTCTGTCCGCACGCGTGACGCGTGGTTGCATGACAACAAACTGATAAATACGATTATTGGCTGATGTAAATCAATTGCCCGGGTAACTTATTAATACACTTTTTAATAATATAACGGTTTACCAATAAAGCTATTCATAATGACCTGAACTCCGATTCCTAGTATGCAATGTAAATAAAGAGTGTAACCTAACTTGTTTGTATTCCAATTTGAATTTTATAATTTCGGTATGTAATACATAATTATTTTAGTGGATGTCTCGGAATGAGTAATCCAGAAATAGGGGATATTATTTTCACATTTCAGAATCATCTACAATGTAAAATTACATCTATATTCTCAGTATCATTCTTCAGAGAAAAAACCTTAGGTAGTGTTAATAGAGTAGAACTTTGAAATGCGTATTATTCGTGTAATTTCTATACATCATGGCTGTTAATGCGTGAATTAAAGTTTCATCTTTCTACACTCTTCTGTCTTGATTACAATTAATTTTATTTTCTAATTTCTTTCATTCCCATATTTGCTGATTTTGACAAAGAAATCCAATCTCCCTAATGATGCACTTCATTATGTATATGAAATCATAAATAATTGACGCACCCTAACCCGAGGGGATTGAACTTCCTTATTCAAATCAGCCGATAACCTTATCCTCCGCTAGATTTCTCCCGATCCACAAATCAGATTTCAAAGAGTTAGGTGTAACGTAACACGATCATAAAATTCCAAAACAAACGTCCAAAATCGCTTATTTCTCAAGAATCGGTATAAGAAACCACCTTCAGTACCCTAGCAAAAAGTTTTTCTAAAATGATTTTACTATCTTATCACCTAATTTCTAACTTCATTATAGACTCTAACTCTAACATTAGTGAATTGTAAAGAATTTTAAATTTTTACTGTACCACAATGATCGACATAACCTGGCGCAGTATGTTTGGGTGCATCATCATGAGGGCGTACTTATTTGTTATGCAAAAAAAGTGTCAAAGCACATAAATTTTATTTATTTAGATTAAGCCGTTATGCATATAAAAAAATTGGTAATACAAGAAATGGTCTTGATTTTTCTTGTACTAGAAAAAAAAGGCGTAATTTATATGCATTAATTGCATTTTTTTTTATAATTTCTAATGTCACTAATGCTAATTCGTAATTTTGATCTCTAATGTCACACATTACTTATACAATTAAGTATTTGGATCGCACTATGATTATACAATAACATTTCGCGATTTAAACGAAGCCATGTCACTACATAATCCTAATTTGGATTCCCCACAAGTTTACATAAACAAAATCCACACGGCTATTACAAATAGAGTTAGATCACACAATTATACTTTTTGTGCAACATTTATTTTTTTTATAAATCAAATAAATAATATATATTGATTTATATAAAGACATATGTTTTTTATATAATTCTAAAGTAAATCATATGAAATCATAGCTCAGTACAAGTTGAATCCTGGATTTATAAACAAATTTCATCATTTTATTGGTGTTGTATCATAGCGGATTTACAGGTGTGCACTAAAAAAAAAAACTCCAAAATAATATATAAATTCGTGCATATAACAATTAATCCAATCGTACTACAGGTTTAATCAATTATAACTTGAGACAATAAAAGTATTATTATTGGTTGAGATTAATGATTGCTTATATACGAGCATATATTAAGCTTACGAATAATAATGTAATTAGTTAAAATAATAACGTAATTATTATGTTAGCAAACAAATAAGTTAACACGATAACATAAGTAATTAATGACCATAAATAAAAAACAAACCTAGTAAATATATAGATACAATTGCACTCAGCAGTATAATTATTTATAATACGCGTATATAGATAATAATAACGCCGATGAAATTAAACAACAATATCAAATAATATCACTACTATTAGTAAAATTGGCGAAATTATTTCAATAGCATTTATAAGCAATAATAGCAAGACAATTTTTTATTCGGAACGGAATGAAATATCCTTATTGCTATTCTTTTTTTGCATATCGTAAATGTGTACAAGGTTGGTGGCACAGATTCCAAGATTAGGAGTGACGTAACACGATCAGAAAATTCAAAACAAACGTTTGTTCTGCCAAAAATCGCACATAGCTCAAAACGCAGCATAAGAAACCACCTTTTGCACCCTAACCGAAAGATTCCGCTGAACAATTTTACTATATGAACTATTACCCTCTAGATCCTAACTTTGGCCCTTAACGAATTTTAATAATTTAGTCTTCGCTGCCAACCTTGTACACATTTAATATATTCCTTTTTTTTTTGAAAGAACCTTTTAGTGTGGACACTGAGGAACGCCATTGGTGTTCGAAAATTACATTGATAATATTTAATAAAAACACCTAAATGAACTTCCAACATTTTCTATCGCCACGTGTTTATATTTGTACTTAGTGTAAAAACGCATGTTTCGAATTTGTGTAATATGCTTAATCATGTTCTTCGGAATTAACCGGCCTCCATTTCTAGTAAACAATAAAGGTTAATATTAGATTTCAGTTATACAACATATAACAAAATTTTGCCAATACTTTTTTTTGGAGCCCAATGAGTGGTTTCGTTATAAAAGTGCTTTGTTACGTTACGAAAATTGATTAAATTTACAAAAATAAAAACCAATGAAGTAATTATGCATTAAAATCCACAAATCATGAATATACGTATATAAACAAGCCATGATCTTCGGAACTCCGAAACTCCGAGCATACATCAGTGCACATTTAAATTGTAGAAAAATTGTATACCGCAATTTTAAAAAAATAAATATGCAAATGCATGAATGGGTTCAAATTGAGATCTAAATCACCAACTTAACCTGTTTATAAATTTGACATGCTTATACAAAAAAATTTGACACGTTACACATACGATACTAATATGTTGTAATCTTTTTGACATTTTACGTACACAAATTGCCGATCGTTTTCTAATTATGAAAAACCGTTGGTCCAGATTCCCATTTTTATATTTGTCTGCCTATTTTAGATTTACTTTAAAACAGAACCTTCCTTGTATATAATTTATTATTATTATTATTATTTTGTGCTGTTTGGCGATAAACTATTCTACTGTATACCAATAACATATTATTATGTAATTTTACGGATTAAATCACAACATAGAATTTATATCCGTTATAAACAAGTATTTCATCTACAAAACAACTCAGCCATTAAATGAATGGACTTGATAGTTGCCATGCTCTAATATGTCATTTGCAAACTTTATGTTTTGAAGAATACCAATCGGTTTTTAAGACCATAAAAGGTTAGAATATGAACTTTAAATGATTCTTTATAAAATTAAAATTTAAAATCTTTTTCGAGAACATTATATTAGCATTTTAGTCTGACTATATGCATGACTTGCATTTCACATTAATTCCAAAAAGGAATTTACAATGAGAGATCAAGTATGACGATAACGATAAGATTTTGTTTTATTAAATCATAATAGTCGTCATAGTTAAATGGGCGGAATTTGTGATCCCGATAAGTATTATATACGTATGTTACACGTAAACGTTAATAGTTTGGAATTCTACCACATAACCGATAAAGCTTATTATGTAAAATGGTTAGAATTTAATTTTACACGTAATATAGCGTCATTTTCTTATGATGCTAAAATTAAAATGGTAATTATTACATAGTCATACTAGAAAATGCGACCATTAGTAGGTGTTAACACATAGAGGTTGAGCATTAACCACTATATGATCTTCGAAACTACTTGAAATATTAAAAACCAAAATTAATTAAAGTTGATGAAAAAGATTCTGAATTTTTAAATCGCAGTTTAGTAAATGCAAAAATTTGTAACATATTTCATTATAATGAAACGCAAAATGCTAAATATCAAAAGATTAAAATGAGCTTGTAATGTTAAAACGTACTACAGCCAACTTTTCGTAAATGCACTCCCTTTGATGCTATAGCCAAAATATTAAAAGATATTTATAATTTATATCGGAGGTAGGAAATTGTGTCAGACATATTAAGTAAAAATGCACAGAGCCTCAAAAACCTTATGCTAACTAAAACTTGGTCCTTTTTTATCTTACTCCCATCTTAATCTATAACTGCATCATAAACTAAATTTTGTAATGGACATATCGATAACCCTCGTATAAAGATTTTTTTTTAAAAAAAATGTGCATTTAGGGAAAGTGTGTATTTATGAAAGACATTTTATTAAGTACTCTATATGCTTGTGACAGAAGATTAGTGCCATTTAGAGAGAGCATACATAATACATGCATTTATTATTATTGAATATTAGAATTGATAAAATGTTGT